CCTTTCTAGATTGTTGGAAGAACATAGTATGATCGGACTGCCCTTGCTGGTATCCTTGAGTTTTCAAAACCTTTGCAAATCTATCGAACCATGCTCTAGGTGACTGCTTGAGACCATATAGAGATTTCCTAAGTTTGAAAACTTGATTTTCTCCATTACTTCTGTTAAAGCCAGGTTATATTGTCATGTAGACTTCTTCTTCCAATTCTCCATTTAGGAATGCATTCTTAATGTCAAGTTGTTGGAGAGGCCAGTCAAGGTTAACCGCTAAGGATAGGAGAACCCGAACTGTATTTAGCTTCGCCACTGGTGCAAATGTTTCTGTGTAGTCGATGCCATATGTTTGTGTATACCCCTGGCAACTAGCCGTGCTTTATATCGTTCGATTTCTCCATCTGCCTTGTACTTTATATTGAAGATCCATTTGCATCCGACTGGTTTCTTTCCATTAGGTAAGTTCACAACTTCCCACGTTTTATTTTTCATTAGAGCCATCATTTCCTCCATTACTGCCTCCTTCCATTTTGGTGAATCCAGGGCCTCCTGAATATTTTTTGGAATTTCTGTTTTATCAAGGTTAGTTGTAAAAGTACGAAATCCTGCAGAAAGGTTATTATAAGATGTAAACTTTGAGATATGATGAAGGGTACATGAACGAGTTTGTTTTCTGAGAGCGATGGGTAGATCATTGTCAGGAGATATGGTTCTGTCGGAGTTTTCATCAGGTCCTTCCACCGGTTCTGACTCTTTTGGTGCTTCAAGTGTATGGGTTTCCTTATACCTTGATTTAGGCTTCCTTGAGTAAACTAGAATCTCCTTGTTGTTTTGTTTTCCCACATTTCCCCCTGAATTCAAGTGTTCTTCTATACGTAGCATAGTAGAAGGTTAAGTGACTAGGTCAAGCGGGAAAAAGTTAACATCCAAGAATTCTTGGTTAGAAAACCGATATTTTCTGAGATTCTCCCCCTGAAGAGAAGGTTTTTGGAAGTAAGGGGTGTTTTCGAAGAAAGTGACATCGAGACTGACAAATATTTTGTTGGAGGAAAGGTCCAAACATTTATAGCCTTTTTGTGTGGGTGAATATCCTACAAATACACATTTGATTGCACGGGGTTCTAGTTTGTTTCGAAGGTGGGAGTGGACGTGGACAAATGTAGTACTGCCAAATACCTTTAGGGGTAGANTAGTACTGCCAAATACCTTTAGGGTAGATTTGAATTCAGACGGGAAGTTGGAAAGTGTTTATGGAATCGTTGTATAGGTGAGTCAATGAAGAGAGTACGGCTAGGCATACGGTTGATGAGGTATGCTGATGTCAAAATTGCATCTTCCCAAAACATTTTAGGCATGTTTGCAGTGAACATTTAAGGCACGGGCGACTTCGAGGAGATGTCTATTTTTTCGTTCAGCAATCCCATTTTGTTGGGGAGTGTTGATACAAGAGCTTTGATGGACTATTCCATGTTTCGTTAGGTAGTCTTGTAAAGTTGTATTGAAGTATTCAGTGCCATTGTCAGTTCGCAAGATTTGAAGTTTTGTTTGAAATTGGGTTTGAACCATAGAGTGAAAATTTATGAAGATTGAACGAACATCGCTTTTTTCCTTTAGGAGGTACACCCAATGAATGTGACGAACCATTTAGTGTGGGTGCGATTGGGCGTACGAGAAGGTCCCCATAAATCACTATGAATAATGGTAAATGGTGTAGATGGTTTGTATGTAGACTTAGGAAAAGAAGTACGTTGATGTTTTGCAATTCGCAATTTTCACATTGAAACTCAATAGAAGTCTTTTTAAACAAATTTGGGGAAAGTACACGTTTCAAGTATGGGAAACTAGGATGACCTATTCTATTATGCCATAACAAAAGTTCACTATCACTAGAAGCAGATGCAGAGTTACACTTATTAAGTTGACCTAGTTTACTCACATCAGCTTCCTCGAAGTAGTACAGTCCCCCGTACTCTCTATGTTACATCTCATTTTTTTTAGTCAAAGTCAATAGTTGAATTGTCTGAGCCAAAGTCAAATATGGACTTAATTGGAATAATTTATTTTCTTGGGGTTTATGTTATATTTAGATAATTGAGGGTTAAGATGGATTAGAATTAAAGTGGAGGACTTACTTATACATCATATGACAGGTGAGGGACTTCCTATGCAATTAGCCCACTACTTTACTTATTCAAAACCATTTTCCATTCTTTCCACACACATACACATAGATAAGAAATCGGGTAGAGAAGAAAAAAGGGGAAAAAGAACGGGAAAAAAAAAGGAAAAGAAGAAGAAGAAGAAAAGAGGAAGAAAAAGAGAAAGGAAGGAGAATAAGGTAAAATGGTTGTCAAGCTTGTTTTCGATTTTTATTCTCGCCATCTACTGTAGAAGTGGAGAAATATTATGTTAAATTTCTAGGGTTTAATTCATTGGTGTTATTTTCAAATTAAGTTGAGAGAACACCATTGTTAGTTCAAGTTTCTTGAGTGATTTACCTTCCATTTACATTAAGGTAAGAAATGTTATTTTTGTGCAAACCCTAGATTTTCTATTTAATGCTTGAATACGTATTGTTAGTGGGAATTATAGTGGTGATGTAATATTTACGAGAAAGCATGAAATTAGGGAACATGATGGTGATTTAATGGGTTGGATTGTAGTTAATAGTTGTCACTAGTTTGTAATGGATATTTGCAAATATGCTTGGATGAAAGGTTATGTTGATTTATTGGGTAATAGTAAATGAACTAGAAAGTGTAATTGGTCCCATGTGCTTAAAGAAATAATTTAGGAAATTTATTTAAGTATCGAGAAATTTAGTTTAAGAATTATAGAAATGGACAATAAGGGTTTCTTGTTTTGATAGTTGTTTTATTAATTTTTTATATCGTATTTCAGGTGGTAACGAGGAGATTGAAAACGTTTATCAGCTAGTCTAGCTGATAGCTTGTTTTGAGTGAGTGGAAAATCTTATTTTTCAGAAATAAATAATTATTGAATTTATACTTATCAGAAATTATTTATTTCCTGTATTTAATTTGACAGCATGATTTTTAGAATCAACTGATTTTATAGTCAGTTCTTTTAAAATTAAATTAAGTTCATTTAATCATTTCTCTAACATGTTGTATCCATATGTCCTATTTCGGTATATTTAAAGTTATTTTAAAACCACCAGAAAGTACCCAGGTGATTTTACCCTTGTCGGCACTGATGTGAATGTGTTTCCACACTGTATGACTTCAGATGATTATTTTACCCGATCTGCACTGGTGTGAATGTGTTTCCACAGTGTATGATCAGTTATGGTGATTTTACCGGCTCTGCACTATTGTGAATGTGTTTCCATAGTGTACGATCAGATTATAGCTCTGCGCGCGTATGACCAGAATTACAGAATTTCAGAATCTCAGAATTACAGAATTTAATAGCTTTGCCATGTATATCAGTACTTATCGATACATGAGTAAGGTTATTCAGGGTGCCTTTTTGGTGTGATATTTCAGTATTTCTACAGCTTATTTGATTTTCAGTCATAGAATTCAGATTATTCAGTTTTCAGTTTAAAGATTTCAGCTTATAGGATTGAACTACAGAATTATTTCAGAGATTTCGTAGTTTTCAAATTAATTATATTCATTATACTTTATAGTTAATTGTTTAGAATGTAGAACAAATGATTTTATGATTTAATCATGTTTAAGTTTTTATGAGTACTATCAGATTTCAGAATTTCTTAAAGTTTCATAAGATCAAA